TACCTCTGGTGCAAATTACTGACCTCTGTCATCATTTTAAGTGGGGGAACTTGCACAATCGGTGGCTGACTAAATACTTTTTTGCCCCACTGTATGTGGGATCAGCAAGGAATTTCAAAACATATGTGAGCAGTTGTGAACTTCAATGTGTGGCCAGTCTGCTGGTTAATTGCACATCATGGCTGATGTGCATTCCAAAGTTAACTTATGCAAGCAAGAGAAAGAAATCAGAATATATGGGTTCCATCACATGCAGGATTTGAAGGCAATAAAGGAGCTGATTATTTAGCCAAAAATTCAGTACATGAGCACAGAAGAGGATTTTATTTGCAGTATGGGCCAGCAGAATGCATGGAATTTATAAATAAATTACAAAATGAAAATGGCAAAATCTATGGGAAAATTATAAAAAGGTACCTTGAGGTAACCAAGGTTACAATTCAGTGATTTAACATAAGAGAAAATGTAACTCTGTGGACCATAAAGATATAAAATGGTCCTGTAAAAAATTAAAAAAGGGAAAATATGTAAGATCACATATGCAAGTGAAAGAAAAGTAAATTCTAAATACTGAGTAAGAAAGTCACATACTTAAAACCCATATATTATTGTTTAAAATGCTAAAGATGTAAATACTTGCCATTAGATGCCTCAGCAACAGAAAATTTGTATGGACTTCTTTTTAATTAACTGTCCTAAAAAAAACAAATAACAAACAACAAATAAATCAGTCATCTATAACAAACATAATTATTATCTGACAAAGCAAAAATAAGCTCATGTACATCTGTCAATAAGCTTGTGAATAGCCTTATATATCTTCTTCAATTTTATTATAATTACTTGAATCAGTTACTAAAAAATTCTTGAGTAAAAGCAAACACACATAAAATAAACCTGAATAACTGCACTTTTAAAGCTTATTTTAAATGATAAAGTGCATGAGAAATGTATTTAAGTTTGTCTATGAAATATTAGTTTTTCTTCTATATGACAAAAACTAAAACTAAATGATATGACATGATATCTGGAATGTGTTCTAGATGAGGAGGAATATAAGTTGTTACTTGATGTTTTTTTGAGGCTTTTTTCTGCCTGCTCTTTTGTGATGACATTCCAAGTTTCAGGAATATCAGCAGGTTCTGCCTTATATTCTTTGGCAAAGTCTTTGTTTTACTTTGCCATTACATATTTCCAGTAGTCTGATGCCTCAAGGCTCGAATCTGGAGGGATTTTCCAGTCTGGATAAATTTCTTTGTAACACTTGTAAGGGTGCTTTTTGTAGCACTGCATCTAAAACGGCCGTTACTGATCATGAGAGAAGAGCATATGTCAGTGACAAGTTTCTTTGTTACATGCCAAGTGTATTTACCCAGACCCTGTGGCCTATGCAGTGAAGCAGAGTGCTTAGTATGGACTTTTCCTCCTCCATCACATGGAAATTTGCAGAATGGACACTGTTTGCCACAACCAACCAGTTTGTTGAAAAACTCATTTTCAGGCTGCACATGGAGATGCTGTAGTTTCACTTCAAAGTTCAATGTTTAAAACTCTTTTCTCAGATCTTGTTCCATCTAATTCACAGACACTATGAGCCAGTCAGCAAACTGTTCTTGTCAGCATTGTTCAAAAACATGAAAGCACCAAGAGCAATGACCAGTTTATCACCAAGTTCTTTGTGAATATCTTCAGATGTTGTTGACACAGTTTTGGTTGAGTTTCCACTATTTGGTTGAGTATGTCTTTACATAATCCTGATATGAGAAAATATATTTATAGTAGTTTTTAAAATCCTCCTTCAAAAGCAGATCCAGTAAAATTGAACACTGGAAGGACATTTGTGTGCTGAACTGCTCACATGTCAGCATTTCATCAATGATTTTAGGACCCAGGGACTGATTGATAAAGTCTTGAACAGCAGGCTTCAAGCACTGGTTGGTGAATTCTTCTGCTTTCTTTTGGCATTGGTCTTCTTTATTAACCACATGTTTGAAGTCATCACAAAACCTGTCCTTGTTTTTAATCAAACATCTGTAGGGATCATTTTCTTTATGCACTTTTGTAAACTCTCTGGCAGCAATTCCACAGACATGCTGTTTTAGAAGAACTTCAAACTCATGGTCTGCCTTGACGTCTTGATTTTTCTCAAGGTTCTCATCTGTGATGTGTAGGATCTCCTACGTGTCACTGTACATTTTTTTCCTTCTCACTTTTTCTCTCACAAATTGATTGAAAGCATCAATGATGCTGTCAGCCAGTTGTTGTGCAGCCATTTTGTAATCTTGAATGTTGAAAATCTTTTCCATTTTGGCTGCTGCCTGGGTCATCTCATTTAACTGTTCCAGGAGCAGTTTCCTGTCTCGTAAGTTCTTCTCACGGGCTGAAACATCGGACACATTCTGGTGAACAAACACACATTTAGGCTTTTTGCCCACCTCCTTCCTCCTGAAAAAAGCATGCACAACTATTTGTAAGATGTCCTTCATTTCAGTTGAATTCTCCATTGCAATATTAACAATGGTGACATCACTCAGTCCCACAACAAGTGTAGCAAGCTCATTGTCGTGCTCAAAGCTGTTGTCTAGTTGTGCAAGTTCTGGTGACTTTAAGCCCTCAGTGTCAATGATCAGCATGAAGTTACAGTTTAGGACTTTTTTCATGTCTTCATTGATTTTGATGAGCAACATAAAGGCACCGCGAGTACATCGACCACTGCTGACTGCAAACTGCACTCCAAACATGGTGTTAAGGAGAGTGGACTTTCCTGTGCTCTGAACTCCAAGAACTGTGACTACCAGGATCTTTCTGTTTGGAGACACCAAGTCACTGAGCTGAGAGAGAACATCACTCACCCATCTGAGAGGGATGTTGGAT